GGCTTTCTCTATCTTGAACGAGTTTTACAATAGGCACGGCCTATTATGCCTGCTCTGTGAGGAGTCTCCCCTCGGGTTTGAAACTCGAGTAAGATGGCACAGTTTGTCCCAGAACTTCCCCAGAACCCAGAGCTCCTGGCCTTAGTTTTGTTGTCAGGCTTCCTAAAATTTAGATGGTATGAAGTACACGTCTTCGATCTCTGACATTTCCTTCTCTGAGCAATTCACCACTTGATTTCATCTATAAGGAGTTGGAGCGGAAGAGGGTGCACTCCCTGAGGTTCCCCTTTGATGGAAGCAGGTTTTTAAATCACATTCGTCTGAGCGCAAAGGCTGACTCGGCCCTGCAGGGCCTGCGGTTGTGTTGTGGTCTCTTCACTTGTTCACATTTTCATGTGAAGTTCTCTCCGAGGAAGCAAAGAAAACCTGACTCCGGGGTTATTTTGTGGAATTAGGATCACTATTCTTAGGATGAGGTAGGCATCCCGGGGTTGAATCTTACACTGCAGAAACAAAGTCCATGCAGACGGGGTTTTGCTGGCATAATTGATAAGTTCTTTGACAGTATACATACTTTTACATCAGGTTTTCTTAGTCATGGGTATATAAAAAGTTTATTTAGAATATTAAAGTTGTAAGGTAAAAATAAAACAGGAATACTAATTATTTAAAAGAATTCCTTCAGGGCTAAAAAAGGGCATGGAACTATCCAAATTACTTTAGCTGCTTAAGGTCCTACACTTCAAAGATGGAAACGTTCACCAGCCTCTCAGACAGAAGTGTGCTCTTGCCCTACTGGGCAGAACCTCTGTCCCTGAAGAAGTCCACAGCCCAGTCCCAACTTGTGTGTGCTACGTGGCAAAGCGGGGATTACATTACAGGCAGAATTAAGGTTGGGATTGGCAGACTTTAAGATTATCCTGGATTTCCCAGATGAGCCCAGTACAAAAACGTCCCTGAAGGTGGGAGAGGAGCGTGTCGGTGATGCAGCGTGGGAAGCCCTGCCTGGCAACACCGACTCTGAATGTGGAAAAGGCCACCCTCCAAGTTCAGGGAAGCAAACCAAGGAAATGGATTCTCTCAGGGATTCCAGAGGAAGTGCAGGGCTGCTACCATCTTGATTTTAGTCCAGTGAGTCCTGCTTTAGATTTCTGACTTCAGCTAATGCGCTGGAAGTTGCTGGTGGGTGATACCTTATCACCGCAGCAACAGGAAATGAATGCACCAAGACCAGAAGCCACTCTGCGTTGAAGTGACACCTGCGCATCACCAGAAAACCCTGCAGCCAAGAGTGTCCTTCCACCTGAAGCACATTTACAGAGGTCCAGCCTTCTGAACATGGAAGAATTCAGAATATACCTCACTGAGATACACGCCCAAGAACATGGTCTAGCTAAATGGCATCTGAAATAAAACTGTGACTGTCATTACCTAGTCAGGGGAAAACTATGAAAAACAGTGACAGCAACGAACGCCGCTCTCTCCCGAGTACATTTATATTTACATCTAAACGGAAATGTGGGTAAAGTCTGGCAATAACATAGTCATCAAAGAAGTGAAATCAAATGAAGCGAAAGCTAACAGTCTTGGACCCCGAGTCTTCATTACATTAAGGACATGGAACACTGAAGAATGGGCTTGAAGGGAGGGAAAGAGCAAACAACGTGGGTCTCTTCTTTGAAAAGAGAGACAGAAAGTCGCATCAGGTTAGACAGAAGAGCAATCTCTTTCAGTCCAAACAGGGATTTTTAATATGAAGACCACCACCCCCCAAGCACAGAGAAAGTTCTAAACTAGCAAGAGCAAAAGGAACAGTCAACATACAGAAAGGGAGAGACCAAGGTAGCATACAAGCACACACCATGTTAAACAAAAGGGATAAAGTTTAATTATGACACTAAGAATGTGAATCTCTTTCCAATATGAATCGGAAAGATCTACATTTTGAATTTGTAATATCTTCATAAGAAATAACATGATGGGTTGAAAACAAATGGATGGGCAAAATCATACCAAGCCAAGTTAAATTACCACTGTTTAATAGTACAAAACGTGACCATAAAATACCGAAGAATTACTCTGGGTAGGTGTAAGCAAACTTTATCTAAAGAGCCACACAGTAAATACAGGCTTTGTGGCTAATCTCCCTCGTAACTACTGAGCCCCCCGCAACGGTGCAAATATAGTCACCAAGCAAAGAGCAGGGCTGTGCTTCACTAAGACTTTATTTATAAAACAGGCAGAAGGCTGCATTTTGTAGGAAAACTGGTTCCTACAAAATTAGGAATTAAAGGTATGGTTCATAAACAGAGGATTAGAAATATGTCTTTATAAGCCAAACATAATTTAAAAGGCAGGAATCTCGGGAATAAGAAATGTAAAATGTATATAGTTTTCAAAGTTTATCCAGGCATGGTGGAGCACAACTGTAATCCCAGCACTTGGGAGGCTGAGGCAGGAGGATCACGGGCAGTTTGAAGCCAGCCTGGAAGACATAGCAAGTTCAAGACCAGCCTGAACTACATAGTGAGACCCTGTCTCAAAAAAAAAAAAAAAAAAAAAGTTCAAAGAACATATACAAAACTCAGTCCTTTAGTCAGCCACAAAGAACAATGTCAAATTTTTTAAAAGTAGGTATTTTCAGGTCATTTTGCTAATGATGAAACCTGACATCCTTTAGGATGCTTTTGGCTAATAATTTACAAAACAGCCAACAAAAAGTAACTTCATCAACAAGAGTCTTTCTTACACAACAAAGCATCAAAGAGGCAGTTCCAGAACTGGCCTGGAAGCAGAGTCAGCTTCTCTGAGGTCGACTCCCCACCTTGGTTCCAAGGTAGCCACCGGCATCACGTTTTCATAGGGTAAGGTTTAAAAGCAGGAAGTGAGAGAGAGGGTGTCTTCACAATTTCTCTCCTCAAATGAAGAAAATTCTTCCCAGAAGCCCTAGCAGATTCCACTGACCAACACTGGGAGAAACTGAGGACTCAGCAGCACAAGGTTGGAAAAGCAGAATTTTTTTTTTGTCTTATTAGACAAGGTATTGCTGTGCAGTGAACTGGCCTTGAACTGGGTTATGTAGCCCAGGCTGGCCTCAAACTCACAGCAACCATCCTGCCTCAGCCTCCCAAGTGCTGGGATTACAGCTGTGCGCCACCACACCCGGTGGAAAATTAGAATCTTAAATCTGCAAATTCTAAGTCAAGACATAGATGCTGCCAGTAAGAAATGAGCATAGCTGCTGTATAGGGAACCACGTAATAAAAGATAACACGAAACAATTTAACACTGTGGAAGTCAAGAAACACGCTCCCACATTTAACGACTCCTGGAGTAAGAACAAGAACTGAGATTACTGTAAAAGGACTGATCACCCTTTATGTCATTTTCTGTTTTTATTTTCTGTTACCGAGTTCTTTATTGGCTGGGTGTCTGGAAGTCTTGAACAGGACATTTCATGTGTGTGAGCACAGTCTTAGGTTTTCCTGTACCTGTGTCCATTGAAAGGTGACAAAAGTGAAACGCCATTCCACCTCTCTGCATGTGGAATTCTCCATTCATTCTTTTCCTTTCAGCCCTGGTGTTTGCACAATTTATTCCCTAGTTAACACAAGAGTATTTGCTTAGTTTTTGTTTTTTTTGTTTTTTTTTCTGAGAAAACTAAAACTTTAGACTTGTGAAAGTAAGCCTTGGTTAGAAAACGTCATTCTGGAACGCGTCAGTGATCCCTTCCCAATCTTTCCCTGCTTCTGTGACAACTGTAGTCTAAACAATTTATATCTGTAAGTATTTTACATGAAGTGTCCTGACTTAGGATAAAGAATAATCTCGGAATGGAGACTCTTTCACACATAGTTCTCAGGTCTTTCTCCAAGAGGCAGGATTTAGCTGTGATTAGCCCAGGGCAGCGGCGGCCCACCTCTGGCACGCGTGCTGCAGTGGCCTGTTTGTAGCATTGAAAGCTCTAAAAAGTGATGGCAAACCTCTCAGAGCTTTCAGTGACAACAAACAGCCTGTCGTGGCACTCATGCCGTAAGCTCGCCACCACTGCCCAAGATTTGCCATCACGGGTCTAGGCCAGAGGGCTTTTCCCGCTGCTTCTGTTCATGTGGTTGCTTGCCAACATAAACTCTCTAATGATGAAGAGTGGGTAGGTGCTGATGGGAGGCTTTTCTACATTTATCACACTCATGTGCGTTTCTCTACTGCGCAGCCTCTGATGCTGAAGAGTAAGCGAATCATGACTTAAGACTCTGCTGCACTCCTTGTATTCATAGGGCTTTTCCTCAGCATGAATTTCCTGATGTTGAACCAGCTGTGAACAGTGACTGAAGGTCTTTCCACATTCCTTACATTCATACGGCTTCTCCCCCGTGTGAATCCTGTAGTGGACGCTGAGGTGGGAGACCCGTGTGAAGGCCCTGCCACATACCTTACACGGGTACGGTTTCTCTCCAGTGTGGATTCTCTGATGCTGTTTAAGCTGGGAGCTCACTCTAAAGGTCTTTCCACACACCTTACACCCATACGGTTTCTCACCAGTGTGAATTCTCTGATGGCGAATAAGAGTGGATCCTTGGTTAAAGGCCTTCCCGCATTCTTTACATTCGTAAAGTTTTTTGCCAGTGTGAACCGTCTGATGTTGGATTAACTGAGAGCGGTGACTGAAGGTCTTCCCACAGTCCTCGCAAGAATAAGGTTTCTCGCCAGTATGAATTCTGTAATGAACTTTAAGATGTGAGATGCGATTGAAGGCCTTGCTACATTCTTTACACTGATAGGGTTTTTCACCAGTATGAATTCGCTGATGTTCAATCAACTGTGAGCTCCGACTAAAGGCCTTTGCACAATCCTTACATTCATAAGGTTTCTCCCCAGTGTGAACTCTCTGGTGTTGTATGAAATTTGAACCAGAGTTGAAGGCCTTTCCACATTCCTTACATTCATAAGGTTTCTTGCCAGAATGAATGTTCTCATGTTGAATTAGTCGTGAGCCATACTTGAAGGCCTTCCCACATTCCTTACATTTATAGGGTTTCTCGTTCCTAAGAATGCCTTGATGATTAATAAGGAATTCTTCTTGCCAGAAGTCTTTTCTACATTTATTATATCCACAGCGTTTTCCTCCAGTATGGATTTTTGGATAAAAAGTAAGGGATGCTTGCTGCTTGAAAGTGGGCATCTCCTTGTGACTGCCTAACGTTTGACTGAAATGTCTTTCTGAGTTTTCTGGCTGTTTGTCAAGTTGGTTCTTGCATCCCCAGTCGTCCTGGGAACGTGAGCAGTCAAGACCATAGCTTGTAAGGCTTCCCATTATCTCCCACTGGGGGGCTTCGCCTTTGGTATAGTATTCGGACTCCAATACTGCAAAAGAACAAATAAAGTATTGGCTGAGCAATTAGAAAGTGGGCAGTAAAAAAGAGAAGGAAGTAATACCACAATGAGATGAGGGAGGTGATCCGAGAGAGGTTACAAGAGTAGTTCTAGGGGCCGGGGATATAGCTCAGCAGCACAAGTGCCTGCCTGGCAAGCACAAGGTCCTGAGTTCAATTCCCAGTACCTTAAAAAATGAGCAGTTCTAAAATACTAGTGTAGCTCCAGTTCACCTCTGAACCATGCTTTTTTTCTTTTTTTAAAAAAAAACAATGATTTCTCTGAGACTATAAAAAAGACAAATCTTGTGAGTGCATTCTGCAAATCACAAGTTGCCTGGGTGAGGGGCTTGTGCAGGAGGTGCGGGAAGGAGCACAGGGAGCTTTCAGGGTGGTGGGAGGTGTTCTGTCTTGGTGGCAGCGATGGTTACATGGATGTATGGCTCTGTCCTTTGATATACGGCACTCATAACACACATGTTACTGAATATACGTTGTACTTCCCTAGAGGAGACTTTATAAAATCAGTCACAAAATGCAAACATTCTGGAGATGGATGTGGTGATGGGTATGCAACATGATTGCACTTGATACTACTGAAATGTACACATCAAGTGGTTACAATGGTAACTCTGTTATGGGTATCTTAACCCAATGTAAAAAAATAAAAATGACCACGTGTGTGGCTAGGTCTGTGTCCTGCCTCAGCACAGATGCGGAAGAAGGAATGAGCCGGAGGATACACCAGCGTGTCTGCCAGATGTGCCGGAGTCTTGGCAGCTGTCCTTACATGCACAGCAGAAATGTAATGCCTCATCCGCTGCCTTATTCTGTGGTGGTCTCCGGTCTGAAGTTCAGCTGACAACAACGGCTACTGAGTGTGGCTTTTCCTCGCACTTCCCATTGCTTAAAGAAGGGCCTTGCTCCTCCTCGCATAGAGGATCAGACCTGACTTGCGGGCAGGGAACCCCTTCTACAGCAACGTGCTTCGCTGCTTATTCAAACTGCAGGCAAAAGCTGAGCAGTGTAAACAATCCAACATGTCCACGGCCGCAGGTGCGCCGGCAGGTTATACTGCAGTGACAGCCACCACCTGTTTAGCTTCAGAAGCCTCATGCACAGCTCGATGCAAGGAACCATGGGAGAAACATGAGTGCTTCTGAGTGTGTTCCTAGCGTACCAGGCAGAGGGCCGTAGGGAACTTTGCAAGCGCAAGTTTGCTTCAGATGGTGGCACACCTTGTACTCATTCTGTAATTTGTGAAAGTATTAAGCAAAAACTACTAGAACAGAATGTAAGAGTGCTTCTACAACAGAAGATAAGGAGGAAGATGCCTCAGATTTTGTGAGAAGGATGCTGGCTGCTGTCATCTCCAAAACTTTCCCACAACATTAGTGAATCCACAGGACACTGCAAGAACCAGACGATGTAAAGACATGTTTTCAGACACTGCTTGGTTGCTCAAGAGGAAGGCCCTGGGTCTCTACTGTGGTCTACTGATTCACCTGGTGAGGCAGATTCCAAGCAGCCAGGACGATGGCCACCAAGGTGCAGATCGAGTCTACGGTTAGGGCATCTGGCCACATCTAACAAAATCACAAAATCCGCAGAACCAAGAGTGCGGGAATATTCCAGCATACCACGCAATATTAAAGCTAGCTGGAGGACAGAAGAAACAAAGTCTGGGGACAGCGAACTATTCCCAGGTGGACATTTCACTGTGGGAACGCCTGTCTTATTTTTGCTTGTTTGGTAATGTGGAAAACTCCTTGGCTGCTTCATGGAAAAGGCTTTCCAGGCGCTCCTTTCTCCAAAGTGCCTGACTACCGCATCCTATTCACACAGCTGAGGTGGGCTGACTTACAACAGAGAATAATGTCTGCTCCATGAGCGCTATTCTACTCTGCTAAGTTAAGCCATCACTAGTTATGTGGGAACTGTATAAAAACTACCCAAAGAGACTACTGTAGTCATAATTTCTAGCTTCTGGCTTCTGTTTAAGTCCTTACAAAGTTGTAACATAGCAACAATAATAGCAAGGTCTTCTGTATTTTCATACTTCTTGACAAGATCTGGCAGAGTAGAGTTAATTATTAGAATATTAGTCACTATTCTGAACAATCAAAGAAACAAAGTTTGAAAATCTTACATCCAGTCTTAAGATTAAAATGTTCTGGTTTCCACTTCAGACAAGTGCTTGATATTTAGCACAATTTAAATGTTTATGAGCTGGGCGTGGTGGCTCACGCCTGTAATCCCAGCACTCCGGAGGCTGAGACGGGAGGAACATCATGAGTTTAGAGACCAGCCTGGGCTACAAAGTGAGCTCAAAGCTGGCCTGAACTGTATAGTGAGACCCTGTCTCAAAAAAGACAAAATAAATAAATAAATGTATGTTTAAATTGTTAGAGCATCAAACTTAAATGGTAATAACTGAGGACAATTAACAGTTGGTGACAACATAAAATATTGAGTCTTTGTCATTCCAGGGGTACAAGCTCAAACCTTTTCTAATTTTGTAGTACAGAAGGCAGGTAGAATGCGACTGTCTTTCGGTAACTTATTGATTATGAACCTGGATTTTCCCTATTTATCATACCTAGTGCCAGAGTTTGCCCCACAAAGGGTCATGTGTTAGAATGTGCTTCCCAGCAGAGAGGTGCTGAGATGGTATGTCTGGGTGGGGGTGCTCAGCGGTACAGTGCTGCCCAGCATGAATAAGGTGCTGGGCTTGATTCCCAGTACCAGACAAAAAGAGATGAGGGCCTAGGGAGAGGTGATGAAAACACAGGGAAGACGCCCTCAGACAGGACTAACGCCCATCTCTCGGGACTGGGTTAGGTCTCCTGTAAATCAGTTCTCACAGAAAAGGTGATGAGGTGAGGTCACCCCATGTATTTGGCCACTACTTTATGCAGCCAGTTCTCCTCCCACTTTCCCACCATGTTGGGATGTGCAGCTTGAGGGGGCTCACCAGACGCCAGCACTGTACTGTTTGGACTAGAATGGCAGGCAAAATAAATCTCTCTATAGAGTACTGTGACAGTTAAGTTGGATTTTCCATTTGACTGGCTTCAGAGCCACCTAGGACATTAGTAAAGCACACTTCTGGATGTGTCTGGGGGGATTATAGAAGGAATGGCAGAGAAGAATCAGCTCATGCCATGGTGGCAGGAAGCACAGAGAGATCACAGAAGGAGGGAAGGAAATAAACCCATCCAAGCCACGCCCCCAGTGATGCACCTCCCCCAGCCAGGCCTCTACTCCCAATGCCACATTTAGCTATAAACCAATCCTCGGACTCATTTTCTATATCACACACGCATGATCCAATCAGCTCCCTGAAGCTCCACCTATGAGTGCACGAGGTTTTCGGGGGACATCTAGACGTAAACCATAACAGAACTTGTCTACATTTTGCGCATGTCCTGAGATCTGTGAAAGGCTGAGTTTAAGAACTATAGACTTACTGCACTGGCAGAAGAAATTTCAAGGCAGGCCAATGCTCAGGACTTGGGCTGGGTACAGCGGGCTGGTTTTTCATTAGATTTATACTTAGAATTGGTAGCAAAAAGCACAGCAGAAATGTTGGGGACTGTGAACTATAAATGGAGTCTAGGGGACATCCACACTTGTTCTTGTCCTGCCCTTGACCCAGACTGGAACTCAGAAACTCCCTGCTCTTTTCCAGTCACAGCTGGAAGCCCTGGGGCTAATGAATGCTGTGGTGCTCACAGGGCAAGATAAGGCCTGCTGGAGAGGATAGGCATCTGGGGAAACTGCAGTTTCCTCACTGCTCCTGTCTCGTCCTTGTCCTTGTCCTTGCAAGGATGCTTTGTTCTTCTTATTCATGAGAGTCACCATTACTGATCCCGGAAACACCCACTGCACTAATATCCACTGACCTTGACTCATGTTACGAATAAATACCAAGGTTCTGGGTGCCTCGTGGCCTTTTGTTCCCCAAGAACAACTGGTCATCACAGATCCCTGCTGCACCCCTATTTTGTCTCTTGCTCTTTCTTCCTATTGTATGCCATCACTCCGGGCAGGAGATCGGGGATGCACTGCAGGGGTCTACAATACAGAAAGACTTGAAAAACTTAAATTCTGGCTTAAAAGGAACCACGTGTAAAGTTGAGGCCACATGAGCTGTGTTTGCTTCAGAGATCAGCACCATTAAAAAGAAACCAAGCACTTTGGGGGAAAGATGCCTTGAGACGCCTCAGGAACTGACAAGACCCCACCCGCTGCAGGCTGAAGGGTGCAAAAGCATAAACCTGTCATCTTAGAAGAGAGCCCCTGAGGTTCGTGCTTGGGAAGGACCATCTAGGCCATTCCTGGGAGTCATTTCACTATGCTCAGCCATTCAGGTAGTCAGATGCCACTGCAGCACGGTCCAGGGGAGCCTGGCTGCTGCTCCAGCTAGTGCGCACACCTTGGCATCATCCACATGATTCTCATTCCTTAGGCATGGAGAATGTAAGAGTTGTGTGGTCAAGGAAGCATCTACACAGGTTACAAGGAAGGACTGGAAGGCCAGGCAAGGTGCCCCTGAGAGAGGGGCATCTGAAATTGTGGGAATGAAGTCAAAGGTGCAGCAGACATCACAGGAAGTTTGAAATTCCAAGAGCAGGGACTGTACTGAGGACAGCTGCAGGCAGTAAGCAGAGCCAGTTCAAGAGAGAGACCATGTGGTCTCTGATCCTTCTGCCTCAGCCTTCCAACGAGCTGCAGTTCAGGTCTGCATGATCACACCAAGCTCCAGTTCTTCAATAGGCACTGCAATACTCATAACAGAGCAATAGATGAACCTCTTGAATCCACTGGCTTATAGAAACTCTCCTTAGCTTCAAAATCTCAATCCGAGGACTATCAATACTTTGCTCCTGGGATACTATACAGAACTTTAAAAGCATCTCTGAAAAATATGTATCACTAACATTTTGTCTTAATTCTTATTGCATAAGTAACTTCACTACATGAGGCCCA